AAAATTATTTATTTTTATATAGTTTATAAAATGGTTCAGTAAGAGTAATTTAGTCAATTTATGGTTTAAATTTGTCAAAGAGACCTATTTGCATCAGATTGAAACTTTATGCATGTTTTTTGCACGAGAAGGGCATCATCCAATAGTGTCATTTTCAGTCATTTTACAAAATTATTTATTTTTATATATTTATAAAATGGTTCAGTAAGGGTAATTTAGTCAATTTAGGGTTTAAATTTATCAGATGGACCTATTTGCACCAAATTGAAATTTTAGGAGTGTTTTTTGCATGTGAGGGGTGTAATTTGCACTGTAAACATACTTTAGGGGTGTTTTATGCACTTAACCCTTATTTTTTTCGAAAAGAAAAGAAAATCATTAAAATTGGATTAAATATAGTTAATGTATACTATGAGATCATTAGCATACACACACCCTCGGGCATTTTCGAAAGAATAAAATGACAAAATAGGTATTACAATATTACTTTATGTTAGATTTGAGGGGTGTTTTCGTACAATTTTAAGATAGTAAGGGTATTTTTAGCACACTTTTTCAAATAAGGAGTGAAGGTGCTATGCAAAGTATATATGAGTTCAAATTTTCACGTGTATATATTTGTACATCCGCTACTCCAATCTCAAATTTTCATTGAGTTCTCCCTACTTCAAGGAACGGTGAATTGAAGTGATTCTTGAACCTTACAATAGTAAAAATTGTATAATTGAATCCAAAAACAGTAAATTCATTCAATCATACCAAGTAGGTCACTCAATTTCAAGCATGAACCTTACAAAATTAATACTTGTTCTCTGTATGCATGTAAAGAAAAGAAAAAAAGACAATCACACAGAACAGAACCAAACAAGTTTGAAATTTAAACCAAAATTCGAATTCTACAGCAAAATTGATAAAGAAATTAACTTCACAATTCAAATGAACGCTTAAGAAGCTTGGACCCATTTTTGGCGCAAATTGTTGTGGTTTTAGCTTTGTTTTTGGGTATGTTGTTGTTCTGAAATTGGAGAGAGAAAATGGTGTTTTAAAAATTATGGGGTGCAAAAAATGGACAATAAATGAACGGTAAAATTTTTTACCTTCATGAATGAATTGGTAATATATTAATGAATGGGTTGCTCAAATGAATAGAAGAAATTTTAGGAAAAGGGGTATGGTTATATTAAAGAGCAATACTAACATTATGTAAAAAGTATAGACACACCTGATGCAACACTTAGCCAGAAATTTTAACCAAAAAAAAAAACCACTGAGCCAGAAAGTCTTTGTTAAGAGGGAGCGAGTTGCTCTCACTTTTGAAATTATAAGTACTTATTTGCTCACGTTTATTACACATGGGATATTTTGCTCACTCGATGAAAACGGGAGAGAAAAAAATAAATTTTATATTTCAATCGATTCAAAATTTTTTTTTTTTTTTTTTTTTTTTTGACCATCGGTTCAATTGAGAATATTAGAAATATCAATTAGATGGTTTTCATCACATCGGTGAGATAAAAAGTGAGTTAAAAATTAAAATGATATAATTTGGATCCATTTTGATCATAATTTTTATATAATTTTTTTTTGGCTGGTGTCACCACTTAATTCAAAATAAATTATTATGTAATTAAACCATTTAATAACACAATTTAAATAACACTTAAAATCCTTGATAACAAAATTTAAATAACACTTAAAAATAAATAAACACTTTTTAAAATAGGGTAAAATTTTAAGTGACAATAACTTTAAATGTTAAATGAAAAAGTTAAAAATATACTGTATATATTTATTTTTAATTAACACTTTAAAATTCAATGATTAAAATTTTCAGTTTTATGAAACAGTCTAGATGTTTATAATAGTCAATGATATTGGCTCCTACGATTCATATAAGTATATCCATTGCTTTTGTCTCCTTGGCTCCAAAAAGAAGGTGATGAATTTTCTTACTTCTCTTTCCTATTTCTGTCTCGCTTTCTCTCTCCTCCCCACTTTCGCAGCGCGCACCCTGTTATTTCAGGTATTGCATTCACACCACATGTACAGTACTACATATCATCATCATCATCATTGTTATATATGTTGCTTGTGTGTGTGTGTGTGTGTATATATGTGTGTGTTTATGCGTGTGAATATAATTATTCTTGTGAATATAATTATTCTTTTGATGTGGATGATATGATCAGGGGTTTAATTGGGAATCAAGCAATAAGGAAGGAGGATGGTACAACTGGCTCATCAACTCCGTCCCAGAACTAGCTACTGCTGGAATTACTCATGTTTGGCTTCCCCCATCCTCTCAATCAGTTGCAGCCCAAGGTTTTTGACAGTTTCAATTTGTAGTTTCATATTGTTTTTAATTGCTTTGTTGATTATGCCCTATTTACCATATGTCATGTCTAGTATGGTCTGGTGTGAATCAATAAGTCATTCAATCAATACTATAACTATGAATTATTTATTTTCTTTTCTTGATCTTGAAATTTGTATGAAATTGATAAACATGAGCTGAAATGCCTCTAAATTATCAAAATGAAGATTTTTTTCAAAAAAACTTTGTATAATTGTTTTGATCTTCGAGAATTTCATTGCCGGAATTACTTCTTTTAGAGTGATGCTGTGTTTCTCATCTCCATCAGAATTGAGCCACCACTCCCACCTTGTTCATCACTTCGCTATTTGTCTTGTGTTTTTTCTATCTTTGGTGTAATTGTGGACCATTGATCGCTTCATTTATGATAATGAATTTTCAAAAATGGGAGTTGAGTTCAGTATAACTTTCTTGTAGTCCATTGATTGCTTCGTCATGTACAATCTTCAGTAAAAGATTATTTGAGAAATTCCCATAATGTTGCATTCAAAAAATAAAAAAACAAAATAAAACTTGAAAGTATCACATGACTAGCTTTTCCCCCATAATAGGCATATGCAATCTTTTCCTGCCAAATTCTCATTCTTGAAGTTCATGCAGATATTGGAGTTATCGATTCTCTCTCCATCTTACAATAGAAAAAAATTCCAGTTTACATCATTCTGTGAGGAGGAGATTGTACACCAATATTTTCCGAACTTATTACACAAAATTTACATCATTCTTGAGCGAAATAATACACAAATTCCAGTTTGTTTACGGTGTTGCTTCATTCATAAGTCAGGCCGCTCCTGATAGTTGGAGAATTGGAGCATAAATATCGGAGACAACTACACTGGCCTTCCTCATCTTTCGTCAAGTTCCAAACTTCATTCAGATAGTATATTAGGCCAACAGGTCCAAAACTGGGAAGCACATACTCACACAGTCACTCTAACTTTTGGATTGAACTGAAACAAGTGTAATGCCACTCTTGAATTGTTTTCCACCTCTTTTTCCAGGATATATGCCGGGAAGGTTGTATGATCTTGATGCATCCAAATATGGAACTGAGGCTGAATTGAAAACATTGATCAAGGCTTTTCACGACAAGGGGATTAAATGCCTTGCTGACATAGTAATAAACCACAGAACTGCTGAGAAGCAAGATGGGAGAGGAATATGGTGCATCTTTGAGGGAGGAACTGCTGATGACCGTCTTGACTGGGGCCCTTCGTTCATTTGCAGCGATGATACTCAATATTCTGATGGCACAGGGAATCCTGATACCGGAGCCGACTTTGAACCCGCCCCTGACATTGATCATCTTAACCCAAGGGTACTAAAAGAGTTATCAGATTGGATGAATTGGCTCAAGACTGACATTGGATTTGTTGGATGGCGATTCGATTTTGTCAAGGGATATTCACCAAGTATCACTAAAACCTATATGGAGAACACTTCACCAGACTTTGCAGTTGGGGAGCTATGGGATTCACTCTCCTACGGGCAGGATGGAAAACCGGACTATAACCAGGATCAGCATCGTAATCAGCTGGTTCAATGGGTCCAAGGCGGAGGTGGGGCTGTCACAGCATTTGATTTCACAACCAAAGGGATTCTTCAAGCTGCTGTTGAAGGTGAGTTGTGGAGACTGAAGGATTCAAATGGAAATCCTCCAGGAATGATAGGAGTTTTGCCGCAAAATGCTGTGACATTCATCGACAATCATGACACCGGATCCACTCAGCAGCTTTGGCCATTCCCATCCGACAAAGTCATGTTAGGATATACTTATATCCTAACCCATCCAGGGATTCCATCAGTGGTAAATTTCCACCTCCCTAGTCTCAGTTTGTCCTTTCACACGAATCACTCGATATCCATCTTGAATGAAGTGATCAGAACCATATTTCGAGTTTGTTAACCAAAGTGTTCCTTTTCTGTTTTTGCAGTTTTATGATCACTTCTTTGACTGGGGGCTCAAGGATGCAATTGCTATGTTGGCTACAATCAGAACAAGGAATGGTATCAGTGCAACTAGCAAAGTGCAGATATTGGCTTCTGATGCTGATCTCTACGTAGCCATGATCGACGACAAAATCATTGCCAAAATTGGGCCGCAGCTTGATCTTGGAAATCTTATTCCACCAAATTTTGAGGTTGCTACATCTGGGAATGACTATGCTGTGTGGGAGAAAAAGTGAAAATAGGAAAAGAAAATGAACTCAATGTTGAAGTTCACTAAAATGGCTTATATAGTCATTGTGGACACTGCAATTCTACATCTCATTAAAATCATCCTGTCATTGTATAGGTAATGATTCTTGTTACTGAATATTTATAATTATATATAACATCTCAGGTGAACTTAGAATATTATTCAAGTACCACCAGTTTGCAATGATGACCTGAAATTTCTTTATGTTATGTTTGAACTAAATTTCCTCCGATTCTAATTCCAAAATTCCAATTTGGTGCTCCCAAACACTACAATTTTGCCTAGTTTTAAATGTTTGATTGTGAACAAGTTTTTGGCATACAACTAGTAAAAAAAAAAAAAAGTTTTTGGCATACTTTGTGTACTATAATGCTTCCACTTGGCAAAGACATTTCGTGTAAAATCTTCAGGTACATGGTATTACTGTATGATATCAAATCTTTTCTCCATTAACAAACACAAATCCCCAATCATAATGAGGACATAATTATATCAAATTTTCAACAAACGAGTCCACACAAGTTCACTCCCAGAAACCCAAACTCTTCTTTAGAATCAAACTTGTAGGAACCTCATATAAAATTAACAACTTTTCAAATCCAAAGCACTACCCTATACATTACAGAACCACCTTATTATTATCTTTCTCCTCGATCTAGCACCAGTTACAAACTTATTTGACTCCTTCCAAACACTCCTCCAATCACTCCATCCTTTCGGTGAGGAAAATTACATCGACTTTATCATACCTAAAAATATGTAACATGTACAGTGTAGGAATTCTGTCAAAATGCATTCCCAATAGAAAAAAATGCCCAAAAAAGTGAGGCAAAACACAATCAACAAGAAAATCTGCAATTTAGTGAGACTTGGATGCATGTGCCTTTCTTCTGGCCAAGAACATGAAAACCCGTGGGAAGAATGATTTCTTCTTTTTCTTAACCAACTTAACTTCTGATGAAGAATCAGTCTCAGAATTACTTCCGTACACATATGCACTGGGGCTCGACCTATGATGGATAGCTGAGGGAGCATCAGGCAACTGGGCAGGTAATTGGGCAATAGTCTTTGATTCTTTCTCCTCCACAAAGCTTGTCTTTTGGTTCTTACTCGAGTTTGCAACTCGAATAGCTTCACCAGCTTTTCGCCGTTGCTCATGTTCAGCCCTCCACTTTCTCAACTCCTGTTCTACACCCAACTTCCCTTCCTTGGCCTTTTCAGCCTTCTGCATTGCAATTTCTAATTCTTCCTTTCTTGTATTCATCTCCTGATTAACTTCCTCTAACTTATTCAAACTTCTTAACTCAGATTCCTTGGCTACCTCGATTTGGGATATGGCAGCAGCCACCCTCGTGTTAGCCTGCTCCTCTGCTTCATGGGCCCGCTTGCTGAGCTCATAGTACTCCTCTAAAGAAATTGTCACTCCGGTGGGTGAATCATCATCATTGGTACTTCGAGCTGACTCACTCTCGTGCAGCGCGTTGATAGCTGCTAGCGCCAACTTCTCTGAAGCCTTTGCAGCCTCTATCTCCTTTTGAGCAGCAAGTAGTCTGCTCTGCATTGTACTTGCTCCAGCCTTTGCCTGTTCTGCTTCTTCCTTTGCCTTCAGCAACTCCTCACGAGCCATTTGAGCCAGGGACTTTGCCTGATCTGCCTCTTGAGCTGCCTCCTGTAATTGCTTGGGCAGCTCCACCATCTTATCTCTTGATTCTTTCTCTTTCATCTGAACAAGAGCAATCTCTGATTTAGTCCTCTTCAGCTCAGCTTCTAAAGATGCAACTGCGACTGATGCCATTCCTTCTCTCTGCCTAATGGTGGCCAGCGTGGATTTTTCCTTTTCAAGCTCCGACTTTAATGATGTGGCAGCCACCTTCAAGCAATTTACTTCGGCAGTCGCTTTCTCAATGTTGAGCTTCACTTCTTCAATTTCCTTCTTGGCCGAAGCAACTGCTGCCTGTATATCAGTATGAGTTTTCTTCTCAAGTTCTTCTAGCTCACCTTTTGACTGTCCTCCTTCAGCTGTTTCTTGTGCCAACGTTGATTCCATATAAGCTGCTAGTTCAGCTTTTAAGTCGGTTAACAAGGCTGAAGCAGAATCCAGCTTTGACTTTAGATCCTTTGCCAACATAGTTTCCTGGTTTAGTCTTTCTAGCTCCTCTTCTGCCTGCTTCAATTCCTTCTCCCAGTGGAGAATATCTTGCTCTCTTGCCATAGCTGCTCCAATTCTCTGTTCCTCGGCCTCCAGGTGGGCAGCATGTGCGGAGTCCAAGGACTCCTTTGTGGAGATCAGCTCAATAGTCAGTTCCTCCACTGTCTTCTCAACTTCTTTGGATGCAGAAACAGCCTCCTCAGCTCTCTTCACAGCTGCCTCTTTCTCAGTCACCAATAAAACATGATCTTTTTGAAGTTCCTCCAACTCGTCTTTCACAGTTTTCAGCTCAGAGATCGCGGCTGCATGCCTTGCTTTGGCAACCTCAAGCTGTGCCTTGGCTGCAATACTAGCCTCGTCAGCAATCCCTTGTTCCATCTCTTCCACCCTGAGCTCAGCAAGTTCAGAATCCTGTTTAGCTTGATGTTCTTCTGTTTGCGCTCTCTCCAGGTTAAGTTTTAATTCTTCTACGAGTCTCTTACTGCTGTCTAGCTCCTTCAACACTTGCATTTTTGCATCTTCAGCAGCTTCAGTCTGTTTCTTATACATTGGAATCTCTTGTTGTGCTTTCTCAAGTTCATGTTCTATGAGCTTGCGTCTCTGCATTGGCCGGAGGAAAAAATTAAGAGTCACTTGGGAGTACAATGTCGTACTAAATATAATCACTGGAATCAAGGCAACAAAAAGTGCATAAAAACTTATTTACGTATTCAGTTTTCCATGAAATCCTCATGTGACTTGACACGAAAGAATAAAAAATTAAATTAAATTAAATTAAAATAAAATAAATAAAAATAAAAAATAAAAACAGGTATGGACCATGATATCTCTAAAAATAAAATCATGAGAAAAAATGTCATTTTAATATAAAAACAAACATTCAAAGATGCCAATAGATTCCCCTATTACTAGTCAGCCGAAGGGTCGGTTCACTGATTGGTGCAACAGTAAAAGCTCAGACTAACAAGAATGAGGACATGGGCAAAATAATGCCAAATGTTTAGCTTGTCATCAGTATTTCCCTCCCAACATCCCACATAGGTGGGACAAACATGGGGTAATTCACTTTTAGAAGGCAGCCAAACACAGTGCCAGAGGTTGGATAGTGATCAAGTACCCATGTCACCAACAGAATTATATCTAAAGCATCAGTTTGAGAAATGGAAAGAACAAACTTGGAGAACACTATACCTCCACAGTCTGAACTTTGTGGGCTTTCCAATCAACAATTCCCCCAAATTTGGAAACTGCTTCTTTAACAGATTCAAAAGGTGCAGCTGTATCAATTAGACCTTGATTTATGTCATCCTTTTTGAGATCTTCAGAATGGTCGATGGTTTCTGGTGATTCATCAGTAACCCCAGAAACCTTGTCTAGGTGCTGAGCAGCCTCACTGGAGCGCACCAAATGATGGTCTTTTTCAGAGCCTTCCACTTGAGGGAGTGAAGCAGTAGATACAATTACATCATCAACATGAATGTGGGCACTACTATTAGAACCACCTTCTTGAGATTGCACTAAAGCATCATCTGGTTTTTCTTCTAAGGTATGTGATGCAATTGGTTCTGAGAGGCATGTTGTGTTTTCCTCTTTCTGGGACTCCATTGTCTCCAGATTCTTGGTTGATGGAAGTGAGGATTCTTGCTCAATTGTAAGTTCATCGGAGGTAACCTTTGGTTCAACAAGTGTTTGATCAGGAGTATGTTGCAAAGCTTTAGTTTCAGAATCGTCAGCCACAGTCCCCTGATGATTAGGTACTGTTTCATCAACTGTAACAGGAGAGGTTGAAACAATATTTTCTGTTTGAAGAAGTTGACCATGTTCCAGAGTTGGGGCCCCAGAAGCATCCTGCGCAGATGCTGATTTAGAATTATCCATCAATGATTCCTTGCAGATAGGTTCCATTTCTCCATTAGTATCTTGGTTTTCTGGAGCTTCCTTACTCGAATAATCACTATTTTGGGAAGCAGAGGCTTCTGGAGGAAATTTATTTTCAGCAATTTTCACATCCTCCATTACAGTGAAATCCAAAGGTGAGCCAAGTGTGTATCTGAAATCCATAGTGAAAATTAGACACAACTAAGTCAGCAAAAAGATGGACTGAAGATTTAATTATATATATATAAATCATTGCCTAACCAATGAAACAAACCTAAGTAGTTAACAAGCATTTTGTTGGACAGAAAAGGAAATAGTTAAACTGATCTAGCCATAATCAGGATTTCTTTAAAATTCCCTTTATGAACTCAAAAATAAATAGTACATGATTAGCTGGCAGATAATTTAGGCCATTACTGTATATAACTATTTTTGCAGCACCATTCAAAAAAAAAAAAAAAAAACTATTTTTGCAGCTATCATATCAACTACCACTAGACTCCTCTCTCCATGTGACTCTCGCGTGGTAAATGAGGTCGGAAATTGGAAATGGGAGAACATCCAAACTAGTTTTTAGGAGAGATAATGATCTCTCTGGCAGAAGACAAATATAAACTATAACGCATAATGAAGAGAAATTATAACAATTAAAATTAGTGAGGGAAACTGCACAGGAAACGATAGACTTACTGCAACAGTGATATTAAGAAGTATTGACAGACAATGGTGGATGCACATGTTAATGAATTGAAGAATTCATCTTATAATGATGCAGGGGCCAGGGTTAGGTATGATATACAAGCCACTACTAGCTGCAGAGGTAAAAGCTCGGATTGCCAAACGTGAGAACACTGCTTTGAACCATGGGTCAGCTATTTTGTGCAAATAATGCCAAAACATAGGTTTACACCCATTCTGCCCCCTCCAACACACTCGATTAGTGAGGACCAACTGAGTGATGTCATCCTTTTTACAAGCTTGTGTCTAATTATAACTTCGGTTGATGTCATGTTCAGTTTTATCAACTGATACAAAAAAAAAAAAAAAAAATCCATGATATCAACAAGCATTATTTCTATTTATTTGTGATATTACTGATAGAGCTGCAAACTCCCTTCCACCATCTGATAAAAGGATGACCTCATAAACACAAAGGGCTCTCAGAAGTCATTGTCCCAATAAGCGTCATGAAATTAGGTTCCTCCATGATTCTTAGCCAGATTAACCAGAAACTTATATTCATCCTAGCTAGGGTTTTACAAAACTCACAAGTATTACATCCATGAATCAATTTAATTATAATTCTATAAACAAATGAATGTGCTGCTCTAAATTTGGAAAATAAAATATATTCTTATAGACTTAATAAAAACAATCAATAACAATAACAGCTTATACTAACAATATTACGAATTGCTTCATCACTTTAATGCTTTCTTTTACAATATTACTGGAAACTTCATACAATTTTTATTTATATATTGCTATTTTACAATACGATTCAAATTTTCCATTTCAGGTAACTATTAAAAGATTATAAGATTATTTTAATGGATTAACAGGTAATGTTATATTGGATAATATCATTGAAATACGATGCAATCTTAGACCACCATGACCAGTAAATTAGTGCCTAAAAAAATCTGAGGTGTAGGGAAGAAGTACAAAATTTTAACGCATTCCCTCTTAGGATATGTTCACACTTTTCTATGTTTAGCATTTCAGTTGTTATGTAGTCATGTAGGGCGTATAATAGAACCACAGATAGGTTTTACTCTCTCTCTATCAGCTAGTTTGCAATGGGTAATTTTCTTTCAACTACTTCTATATTATTGAGTTGTAAAGAATAACAAAGAAGTTCTAGCATTGAGTTATCTTGTAAATCTGGTAGAGCCATCTGAGCCCCTTAAGAGTTAGTGGTCCTATAGTTGGTGAGTGTTGACTCCTGGATCGATTCTTTTTCTCCATGTACACCATTATCAATAATGCAAACCTTGTTTTAGTTTTCTTCATCTTAATCGTTACAAATCTCCATTCTTTTAATTTAATTTGGTCTGCATCAATTGTCAAGATAAACAGTGCACATTCGGAAGAGTTCGCTTTAATTTACATGTACAAAAGAACAAATGCATACTTCTTTTTAAGAACCTATTATTAAGATCTTCCTTAGATATCCTATATTGAATTGTAGTTTTGAACAGAAATGGTGATAAAAAGTTAATATATGCCTATATTTTGGCTCAAAAAATGTAAATTATAGATATAGCACATACATCTGTTCTCCTTTGTCATGAGGGAGCGAAGACTGTACCAATGAGAGGGCACTCATCTCTCTTTGGAAGCAATAAACTACCTATGTACCACAGCAGTAATGCCCCAGCATTTGAAGGGTTCCAATTACAAGATCAATACATGAAAAGTCAAATCAACTGGATAACTTCTAACTCGATAAATTTGATATTGGGTATATGTTTTAATAATATATTGTTATGACAAACGCAATGATACCTAGAACAAATCAAGAAACACGATAGAAAAGTAAACACACCACACACTAAGAACACAAAGATTTAGCGTGGCTCGGAAAAGCCTACATCCACGGTGAAGATGAGGCGAAAGTTTTCATTATGCGAAAATAGGAGATTACAAGTAGCCCCCAAAGCCTAGCTCTCCCTCTCACTCTCTTTGTCTGCCATTTTCAGTGTCTCTAATTATTCCACTCCAAACCTTAAACGCCCTTATATATTGGGTACAAGAGAGTACTAAACATGGTCCATGACCCGTAAGTAAAAGATCGGGTCAAAAAAGTTCAATCAACGGGTAATCGGGTTGTTAACAGGTACCAAATTCGGGCCACTACATCACATATATTACCATTTGTAACACATTAAGTAAAAAAATTAAGGACACACTAGTCATTCATGTATAGTTTCATATACAAATTCATCGTTTTATAATTAAAAGTGGAACAATTACAGAATATGACAGCCATCAATACGACTAATGATGTGAGAATTTTGAAACAGTGCCATTCTTGAAATCCTAAAATTGATCAAATGCCATCAATTATAGAGATGGCTTTGGTTTCCTTCAATGACAGCATTTATAGAAGGTGAACTTTCACCTTCAAATCCTACATGGATACATGAACCATGAATATCTATGTGAAGACCACCTCAGCACTAAAATATTAAACACATTTTTTAAAATCTAATCCTATATTTACAACATAGAATGCTAGATCTAATCCCATTATGAGGAGGGAAGGAAGAGACGGTGAAATATTATTAGTTTCCGGAAAGTAAATCACTCACAGGAGGCAACTAAAGGAGAATTAGGAGCCACTACCAGGACCCAGGTGCAATAAGAAAAGCCAAGCTGTTAAGTCTGAGAATGTAAGCTCAAGTCTAAGGCAACCATTTTATATGAAAAAAAAAAAAAAATTCTTATGTTTGTATGAATCAAACCTAGTCTATCCTCCCAAAACCCGGGGTCAATCAGACCAATTATGAGTAATGACCTTTTTTTTGTTTGGGTGGGGGGGGGGGGGGGAGGGGGTGTTTGACATTGTTGGTTTCTGCAATTGGACCAATAGTGAGTAATGACCATTAACATTCTTGAAATCCTAAAATTGATCAAATTCCATCAATTATAGAGATGGCTCGGTTCAAGTACAGCATTTATAAGAGGCGAACTTTCACCTTCAAATCCTACATGGAAACATGAACCATTAATTTCTATGTGATCACCACCTCAGCACTAAAATATTAAACACTTTTTAAAATCTAATCCTATATTTACAACATAGAATGCTAGATCTAAACCTTATATGAGGACGGAAAGAAGAAAAGGTGAAATATAATTAGTTTCCGGAAAGTAATCATTCACAGGAGGCAATTAAAGGAGAATTAGGAGCCAGTCAAGTCTAAGGCAACCATTTTATATGAAAGAATAAAAATAAAAATCTTTTGTTTGTACTTGTATAAATCAAACCTAGTCTATCCTCCCAAAACCCGGGATTAATTGGACCAATAATGAGTTTTCCTTTTTCTTTTTCTTTTTATTATTATAGTGTTATTATATGGCAGATCACACTCCTACATAATGACCAATGGTTGTAACCCAGTGGTATCTCCTCTACCTCCAAAGTGGAAGGTTGCTAGTTCAAGTACCCAAAGGGGCTGTGAGGATTAAAACTAGTGTAAGAAAATTCTGTAACAAAGTCGGAGCCTGTAACTATTGATTAGATTTTCAAAAGTCAGTTTTAGTTAGTGATGATATCTATGTCCAAGGGTAGAATCAGAATTTGAAGATACATTAAAGGACAAAAAGATAAACTTACCTCTTGAAAAACTAAGTCACTGATTAGGATTCATAATCTTGCATCCTTATCTCAGGGAATAATGCATTTATGTTTTGATTCATTAAAAAAAAAGTTTTAAATGCATGTAATTGTTATTAGATCAAAAATATTTAAACAGAAATTTTATTATAAAAAACAAAATGGCTCGATCAATGTGCCGATCGATCCAAGATTCTAAGAAATAAAGTTTTATCAAAGCCTATAATGCTACAATCATAGGCTCATTCAATTGATAGCTCGACAAATTGATCCATGCGCGAATAGTTTTGGAAATGCTCCTTAATCATAACTCCAAAAGCTTTAGATTTCATTTTCTAATTACAAACCAGATACTCTAATTTCTTTGGACCCAAAGCACTATATAAGAACCTTTAATCCCTCAAAACACACACATAGCTCCAAAGATCTCTCTACATATTATTGAAAGAGCATATAGAGAGATCATATATTCATATTTTTATGGAGAGTATCTAAACACATAGAGTGCATATTTTTCTTTCCACATCTAGCATGTTGCATTATTAGATGGTGAATTATTATTCAGAGTGTTGATCATCAACCTGTGGAGCTTGATTCGTCATCAGCATCATATCGTAGAAACAAATAACAATCGGATGTCCCTAGTTATTGGAGATCAGAAGTTCATGGAGAAGCTAAGAAGCAGATTACATGATGAGCAAGTATGTCGATAGATCAAAGGCTGGAAGGATCTGGGAAGATCTTGCATAAGCCTGAGTTGGGAGGGACTAGGTGATTCTAGGAGAATTTGATAACTTAGTTGTAACCTATTTCTTGTACACTGTACAGGGAATTTTGGTCAGACTGGACTAGGTCCCATGGTCTTTCCTTGTTGGGTTTTTTCACATAAAAATCATGCATTGTTTGTGATTGCATGACATTTCTTTTTCTCTTTATATTTAAATACCTGATATTGCTGTGTTATAAACATTAACTGTGATAAGTTAAACAACACTAACTGTGACAATTTAAACGTCATTTATTGTTAGTTAAAATTGGTGAAGATCTATATTCCTCATCTAGATCTATTTTAGGCTTAGAGCACTCTTACATGTCTGAGTTTTGGATCACGATCCTAGTTTTCACATAGGCAAAATCGATTCTATTTAAATATACTCATTGCCAATAGCATTACAACATTGTTCTTCAAAAAGAATTTGTGAAACACACTGATACCAACATTTAATTCTCAGTCATGTACAAATAGCTGAACACAGCAATTCTGAAAATTTAATTAAACTACTAACAATTACACCAACAGTTGTTCCAATGATCTAATCAGCACATCAGAAGAGAATGCCTATGAAAATTATTAATATGCAAAAGAATTTTGCATTTCAACAAAGTATTGAGGTTTACATTCTCATCTGCATCAATTTTTTTTGGTAATGTCATATCAAGTCACGTCAACCATTGATCAAGCAAAGGCCCTAATATACCAAATTGATAAAATTATTCACAATACATTATATTGCTCAAATTGTCAATATGTAAAATTAATAGTGACTTATGGTTCGTTTGGTAGAAAGGAAGGAAGACAGGTGGAGGGAAGATAGGAAGGAAGAAACGAACTTCCTTCGTTTGGTAGAGAAGAGACCAGGAGGGAAGAGAAAAGAGGATGGATGAGTCATCCTTCCGGCTTCACAAATTTTCATCCCTCCAACTACGGACAGAAGAGAAGAAGGAAGAAAAGCAAGACTGTTATAAAATTTTAAATTACATTATTATCCTTCATAATTATTAGATAAATCCAATATTAGCAATCTCCCTCCTCCCTTCTCTCTCAACAAACAAAGTAAGGAATTACCTCATTCCCTTCTTTTCCATCCAATAAAACAAAAAGAAGGAAGGACGTTATATTTTCCCTACGGATGTCCGGATGTCTCATCCATCCCTTCTTTTCTCCTTCCATCCAATTTTTTTCCTTCCTACCAAACAGAGCATTAGATTACAAACTCTTGCTACTTGGAGCTCGACCTTGCATGCGTTGTATGTGCTAACAGTTTCCAAAATATGGCATACTAAAGTTGGCTGATTACTGTTGGGTTCAAAAGAAATACTATGCCAAACTTATTGCACAGTAGAGGCTTCCTTATTACCATGTTTAAATTTGTCGATAATATGGTGCTTTAGAAATTTTAAACATTTCCTACCAATTAAACAACACGCTTGCGACCTAGTGGTACCTCCTCTCCTTTCAAAGTGAAAGGTAGAGGCTTAAGTCTCCCCAAGAGCATTGTGGGAGTTCTATGCCAGGATAAAATCGAAACAACATGATTTCTAGAGTCCAAACCACATCTTGAAACATTTCTATATTCTGGTTAGAACTTAATAAAATTTAAATAAATTTCCTCAGTTAGATCCATATCCACAAATTCCACAATGGTTAAAACTTGACCCAAAATTCTACTCTCAAAAGTCAAAATATGGTATAAGATGCATAAACCTAAAAAAAATATTCTGCACAAAATTTAAAATTATATTATTTTCCCTGTAGTTTTCTCAGTTTTCTCATATACTGATAATTTTCAACAGTTTTAATGCCCTATTACGTCACAATTTTATATTTTTAAAGCGAGATAATGTTTTCCTAATTGTTTAAATTAGATTAATTTTTTTACATAATTAACAGCTATATAGAAAGAAACCAATACCTCTAGCCAAAAATTAAAATATAAGGAAAACAAGTAAAACATTTTCAATTCCATAACATGTTGGGATTACATTGACCCTTTTCAAATTCAAGTTTTCTCACCAACCAAACAAATGATGAAGGAAATGAAGATTCAATATTCGAAATTAAATGATTCAGATTTGATATCACCAATCAGAAACAGCACTCTCTTTGCTGTACACCCTTAAATAATTGAATATTCTCCATAAAATGCAAAACAAATCCAAAAAATGCAAATTAAAGCCAGAATTAAAAAACTAATCACGAAAAATGACATAATTATAATTCAACAGAAATTTAAAGGAAAAAAAAATAACCAGAGAAAGAACATACCCGGAATGACCAGAAACGATAAATCAAAGACGAAATGGTATTTAATGTTCTGTGGATATTAGCAAAAACACAGAGAAATATTATTATTTGTGTTTATTAATATTGGAGTTTTAAGAATCAAAAGGTCGAAAATTTCACCACCATATTTAGCAAATAGAGAGAGAAACACGAAAGGAGAGATGGGTTTCCACGTGCGTGGAGCTTTACCTCTTCTCACAGAGCTAGATCCATCTGTACACTACTCTCTCTCTCCTCTCTCTCTCTCTTCTGCTCTATTTTTTGAATCTGATTGTGGGAGAATCTGAGCTGGATTAATGGTAGAATATATTAATATATTACAGTAATCTGTAACAGATTTACAAACTTTAGTATAATATAAAGTAAAAAAATTAAAAATATATTTGTGATTCCTATGTAGTTGAACTTATTTTAAAAGGAGACGAGAGTAGGTTTTTTCTGTCACACTACTTTAGCTTTTTCGAAATGTTCTTAGCCTAAGAAGATTAATATTAAAATAACAGATAAACCTAATTAAAGAAAAAGAGTTTTAAACTATCACAATCATGAATTTTACAGGTCTGAGAAGACCTAGATTTAGAATAATTTTTCAACCATAGGTAACTAAGGTTTTTTAAAAAAAAAAATAATAATAATAATACATAAACACATGTTTTGTGATTTTTTTTTTTTTTTTTCTTGAAAACTCAATTTTAAAAGACAAAATGTATTCTTAGAGAACATATTTAATAGTGAGTTGTTTTCTTGAATTATGTTAACGCAATGACTAATGGCTGAGACCACAGCCTTTTTTTTTTTTTTTGGTTAAAATGAGACCACAGCCTTGCACTTGGTATTTTATTTTATTTTTAAGTGTAATAAATAGTTTTGAGAATGTAATTGTAATTTGCTTTTTTAAAAAATAAAATTTGAGAGGGTAAAAATAATAGGAAAAACAAATGAAAATATTATTTTTAAAGACAAAAGGAAAGATAAAATTAAAATAATATAAAAATAAGATAAGTCTAATTAGAAGTACATACAGCTGTGGAGACGCATTTTTGATTTCCCCCTTTGAGTACATGTATCGATCCCATAACACGGACAATACTTACCTGCTCTTTGGTGAGTAGGAAGTATATATTTACCCCCTAATGTGGCTCAAAAGTAATGTGATAAGTGTTCCTAAAATAGAAAATAATAAAAATTAAAAAAACTTGACTGTTTATCAGGTCAACCCAAATGAATATAAATCAAATCCTAATTTAACTCTCCCTCTTCCTCTCTCTCAAACTATTCCGCTGAAACCCTAATCTGCTAATAGTGAAAGTTTTTATTTTTATCGTTAATGGTTTAATGTGTAATCCTTATATATATTTATCAATTATTTTTATTTAAAGTACACCAAATTACATAAAATCTGGTTCACATGATTTGATAGATGATTTGCTGATTGCAGAATAGATTGTTATTGCTTATTTCTGATCTTCTTTTTCTTTTGGCGGAAAACAAATATCTATGTGCTTTTATATTTATTCTTTCTATTCATCATCCAGACCTTTATTTGTATTTTGTAATATTATTTTATTTAAGAATTTTAGGTAAAAATGTTTTTTTTTTCAACAAGATTTCTCATTCACTCCCTAGACAACAACAATAGCGTGAGAGAGGAGAAGAGAGTTAGATTTGGATCATATTGGGTTTAATCCAGATAACTTCTCAAATCTTTTAATTTTTATTATTTTATATTATAGGGACACGTGTTCCACTAATTTTGCGCCACATCAGGATAAGTATATACTTTTTACTCACCGGTGAGTAAGCAAGTATTGTCCCCATAACACAGACATTATTTTAGTCTAGTACAGTTCGAAAGTAAGATCTCAAGAACTAACCTCTCCGATCCCTACCAACTCCATTATGCTACTGGGAACATACTGCATGCAGATTGGAGACCATGAACTAGATAAAAGAAAATTGATAAATATTCTTATGTTCAGAGTTTTTTGGTGAATAAAATTAGTACCGATAACCATGGTTGGAGGCGGATGTCGATTCATAACCCTTTTTCAAGGGTCCGTTACACACCTTTATAAATTGGTCGAATTGATCTATTTATACTTATATTCGTCCGAATTTGTTACACCGCGATATCGCAACTGTTAACCCAGCTCATAAACATACTATTTGGTTGATATATTTTATACTCATCATTTCATGTTTCTCTCTTTTAATTTATTTTTTATTTTTGTAAAATGATTGTTTGTTCCTGAAACTATATAAATAATTTTTTTTTTCTCTTAAATACATAAAATTAGTGGTCTGTTCATACCAAAAAAAAATAATAATAAAATAAATTAAAATTATTATTTTATTAAGCGCAATCAGTCGGTCTCTCTCTCTCTCTCTCTCTATATATATAAAATATAGGATAATGTAAAGTCACCGGCCCACCGCTCATAAAGACATGGGTCTTTGCGCATGGACTTCAAGCGTGTGTACAACACAAGAGGACCGTTATGGATGGCTTTCAGAAATTAATGTCATGAGACTTTTATGCTATGCTATATTTATTACTTGGTGGTTAATATTTTGTACTTTTTGGTGTTACTGGTAGCCCTTCTTAGCAGATTGGATATATATATATATATATATATATATATTACAGATTGGATTCATCCCATTTGAATCTGATAAGAAAATATTCATCCGTCTACGTTCCAAAATAATTTTTTCATTTGTGTTATAATATTTTTAATTTAACTTTCTTATATTGATTTGAACTTATAAAAAATAAACACGACATAAATTTGATAATTTATTCATTACTACTACAATAAAAATTATCATCATAAAAAGTTAAGAACATTTCAAATGGAACAGAGAGAGTATATTTGGTCAGTTTTAATTTAATAACTTGACAAATTATCTATTATTGAATTCTATTTTTAATTTTATAATTTGTCGAATATCATATTTCAATGGTAATATATATATATGTGTGTGTGTGTGTGTTGTGTTATAAAGAAAAGAATTTAGATATTGATTCCTAGTTAAGGAAAAATACAATAAAATGTGGGAAAAAAAAGAATAAAAACGGATATAATTAAGAGTTCTAACTTCTAATGATAAAACATTATGTAAACAAAAAGTTATTGTAAAATTTGATTTAATGTGCTGACTCTCGAAATAACATATTATATATTTCAAAATAATGTGTTAATGTAAAACATTCTTATGTGTTGATTTTTTTTTTTCAAATTCGTGTGCATTCAAAAAAATTTTTTGAATAAAATTATATTAAATATTAACCCGCTAACGAAGTACCTCCAATTAATGGGGTCTAGCAATGTGAACAATAAAAAAACAAGTTGCACGTCATTTTAGACTTTGTTTGGACGTAAAATATTTTTCTAGAAAATATTTTTTTTATTTTTTGGTGTTTGGTTGTTTTAAAATATTAAAATTTAACAAAAATAATTTATCCATTAATTTCGGCAAGTTATTTTACATGTCATGCCCAATGTATTCGACCTCAATCTCAACGTAAACCTTTGCCAAACACCGATAAAGTAAAAATAAAAATAATATTTTACTTGAAAAAAAAAATATTTTTAAAAAAAAATATTTTATGTCGAAACAAACTGAGAACATAAAGTATGCATCCCTAATTATTGGCTTTAAAACTAAAAATTAAATATAATAAGTGCAATAGGATGGACAGTGGACACTAACACGTCGAGTCCCAAAACGGTTAGAAGATATAGCATGAACACGCTAAGGGTAAATATGTAATTTTATTTATTAAGAGTGTTATAGAATTTTAATTAGTTTTTAATTTCTATAATTTTAATTAGTTTTTAATTTCTATAGTAAGAATTATCTAACCTAATTTAGAACATAGAGTGATGTATTTATTGTTATAAGAACATTTCCAGCTGTATGTTAAAATATCTTTTTGTGTAAAATATACACTGTCATCTATAATTTGTAAATTTTTTTCATCTCCAGTGGTCTGTTAAGATATATTGCCATATCACTAATGTGTAAAAAAGTTGTGTATTTTACACAACCATTTTATACTGCCAAATCAACATATTTCCTTTCTCATCCATCTTTCTCATTTCATTAAAGAATCAATCATATATTAAGTAGGTTTGTAAAATTATGTGGGGTCCTGTTATGACACATGGTTGATTGTTATTGGGAGATATATTTTTACACAAAATATATAAAATAACCATTGGAGTTAAAATTAAATAATTGAAATTTTTTGTGTAAATTCATCATGACACATCAGATTTACAAAAAAAAAAAATATACACAATGGTTGAAAATGCTCTAATAGTTACACTGAAATACCCATAAATAAATATTATATATTAATATATATATATATAACATTGTTTTCGTGTATTTAAGGAAATGATCAAAGTGATTATCATTATTTAAAATTAGATAAGTGATTATATTAATTAAAAGGAGATAGCAGAGTTAATTGCTCAAGTTGTGATTGCAATTGCAGGCAACTTAATTCTTGCATGTTACTATGTGTATAATTATTAGATTTTTATCTATGATTTCACTGTGGAACTCATGATAATTATTCTTAATTAGAGATGTGAAGATTACATACAGAGTTTATTAGAATTCGATTATAGATATGTGGTGTACTCTGCTTATATTTCAGTTGATATATATATATATATATATATGAATTAAGATGATTTATTTTTATCAGAGATATTGGTGTTTTCCTGGTTCGGATTAAGGGTACAACAAAATGGTTAGTTATTGAATCTCTCAACCTTCATGTATATATGAGAATGCGCTTGTATGATTTTAGTTGAATTGATTCGTTGATATGGTATAATTATATAATAAGTATGAATAGTGTTATTTGAAGTGATGTAAGTGTTATACATTAAGATTAGGATGTACCTATACATAAAAGTATACATGTAACAGATTGTCTATACATATATAAATAATTATTGGTGGGATTGATTTAATATTTTGAAATATATATATATATATATATATATATATATATGTATGTATAAATATTAACATATTAACCTATGTTCGTAGGTGTAGAAAAGGTTAAGGAAATGCATGTGACTTACTAATGAGTTGATTGCATATAATGATGAGCACATGATTAATTGGGATAATGAATGGATTAGATATAGACTAAGGATGAAGGTGGTGGTTGGCAAAGAAATCTCAAACTGAAGGCACACTAATATGGTTGATTGTTTGGATGAAAAATTTGTCCTATCGAATTAGTGCATGGCATAGGGTTCACCTTTAATAAATAGAAAATCTTACTACCATTGAATGGACTTACGATTTAGGTTTTCAAAAGCAGTAATGGTTTGGAATTAGTAACACTTATTTTTGTTGTTACTTCTGATCATTGAGGTTCGAGTGACGGTTGGTGAGAGAGATAGAGATAATGGGTTGTCTTATG